TTTTTTTTTTTTTTTTTTTTACCGAGAATCAAACTTCATTTTGATAACAGTTAAAAAAACTAAATGTAGAAGAGGAATACTTCAGCATCAATTGACATTCGTTAGATGATTTAGTATTCCCTAGAACTGTAGTATTCTGATTTTTGCATACCGTGATGGGGGCATTATTCCTTTTAACAAGGAGTGCCAATTTTGGAGCCATTGTACTCTTTAAATCCTTTATGTTCCTGCCACCCTGAAATACAGAAAATAGTTTTTTAGAGCCACAGAATGGCTGGTGTGGGAAGGACCTTTGGACATCATTCAGTCCTGCTCAAGTATGGTCACCCACAAGTTGCTCAGGGTTTCGAGTATCTCCGAGGATGGAAATTCATAACCAATCTGTGCAGACGTTGCTGTTGTTTGACCACCGGCACAGTAATCATTGTTCTTTATGGTTGGCTTGGATTTTAGTTTTGGATGTTTTAGCACAAATTCTTTTATTTCAGATTTTTCTCATGTCTTATACCTGCACAGAATTAGAAAACACTTAATATGTACTTAGAGTCTTCTTTACAGAGCATATTAGTAATTTGATTTTCTAACAGGTTTAATGTTTTGGGGGAGGGAAAGGTTGTGTGGTAATTTGCTTTTGGTTTGGGCTGGTTATTTTTTTTTTGGTAGAGTAAGTTCTTCATGATTTTCTCAGAATGGCACTAAGTCTGAGGATTAACCATACTCAAATATTTCAGATGAGAATGAAGATTTCCGAAAGCTTGCAGAAACAGAAATTGCTTCGTGTGAAGAAGAGATAGCTGAACTGAAACAACAGGTTAGATCCCCTAGTAAAGTCCCTGTTTCCTTCCCATTCTTAAATTAACAGAGCCAAATTGTCTTTTTGGGGGTGTTGGAACTAGGTGATATTTAAGGCCGCTTCCAACCCAAACCCATTGTATGATTCTCATCAAGATGTATGTGATAAGTTCTTCTCCTCCCCTCAAATAGTGTCTGTTAGCTAAGGAAAATGAAAAAAATCAGGTGCTATGAAGACATCGTGTAAGCAAGTGCCTATTTGTACCCAAAAATGTTTCAAAGTATCTTTTTAAATAGGTGCTCTAGTTTGTCTTGTCTGGATGTATCTTTATGGATGTCCAACTCTTTAGCCTTTGGAAACATACATACTGTCACTCACGGGTGGGTTTGATAAAAATATAATACTATGTAACTACTTTAGGCTGCTACTTTATACATTATAGAGTGTCTATGTTACTTTACACAAAAAAAAAATCTTAAACATACTGTTTCAACTTAATGTTACTGTAGAAGCTGTTATGGTCACATTATTTATTCCTCCAACAACAGCACAGCAGTCACTTTATAAATATTTTTTGTAAATATTTCTCATTCTGCCGAAAGAAGTTGTCTATGGAAAGAAATGTCACCTAAGGCTAGTAAAGGAAGAGGATTTAAAAGCATTTGCGAATCATCCAGAATTTTGATTCAGCATGCAAAATTTTGATAATTTTTTAGTTTTGGTATATCTTTCTTCTGCAAATCAGGCTTTTTTTTTATTAATAAACAAATAGTACATTTGTGTTGTTGTTGAAGGACTGTATTCCTGAACATCCATACCTTCTTAACTCTGCAGTTGAGATAGAATTAAAGGGGAATCTGATTAGAACGGAGATATTCAGCTATGTTGCAAGAGCAGGCATGTATCCTGTGGTTTATCCTCACAGTGCTCTTGATGGATTGAAAACTTCTGTGAAGTTTTGTGGCTCTCAAGAGAGGCCTGTGTAGCTCCTGTGACCATGAACAGACGCAGGGAGCCTTCCTGCAATGCACCATCACCCTTGCACACCTTTGCCTGGCTGAAGCCCATCCTCAGGGCAGGAGAACACAGCCTGGCTCAGTTACAGAAGTGTCTGGCGTTTTACACTGACTCAGGTGTGGATAGCAGTGTCAGAGGGGAGTCTTAGCTGGGTGCTTTTGTATTCACAGATAGTGTTGCTTTTGATTCCTTCAGAAGAAACAGATGAGAGTGATCTTGTCATGGAAGTAACTGCTGGAGTTGGAGGGCAGGAAGCCATGCTGTTCACCTCGGAGATGTTTGATATGTATCAACGATATGCTGCTTATAAAAAGTGGAAATTTGAAGTATTAGAATACTTTCCCAGTGAACTAGGTCAGTAATGAAAAAGCTGTAACTTCCTAATTCAAGTTGAATTACTCATTAATATGATATTTTCATTTCCAAAGGAAAGGCGACTAATTTGCACTATCTTAATTTTAGAAGTGGAATATTGTTTCAATGTCTAAGTACAGTTCTCTTCAGCTTCTGTATTTGGGCATGAAACTCCATTTCAGAAAAACTATTAAAATACTAAAATGCTGCAAAGAAAATTTGTCTTTTAGTACTTTCACTTATACATTTTAAAACTATTGAAAGACAAGTGCTTGGCAGAAGGAAATTTAGAAAGTGATACAGATGTATTAGCTTAGCTTTTTTTTAAATAAAGATTATGTAAACTATTTGGCTACAGTGTTCTATTTAGTTATCTAATTTTTTATTGTTTATAGATTAGGATGGTGGAAGATTGAAAAATCTGGTTTTAATTATGGATCTATTAGCATAGAGGAATCAATTTTATTTAAAAAAATTTTGGAGTTTAATATAAAACATTTTAAATTTATTTGTAATAATATCTCTATAATATAAGGGAATAGGATATTTGGATATAGCTCATCTGTAACAGCTGTTAAAATATTTATTAGAATTTGATTTTCAAAAGTGTTATATTTGTTTTAATATTTTTATTTAGAGTTCTTAGAAAATATTTTATTTCAAGTTCATGAACGTGAACTCAGGCTCCCTTCTAGAGTGGCTCATTCCCCTCTAGAGTGACTGCTAATGATTCAATTAATATATATTTTTTTAAATTTATCACACTTGAATTCCTTATTTTCTATTATCTAGATTTATTAATATGAATAAACTTCTTGTATTGTTAAGAGCCCATGTGCCAAGTTTTTACAGTTTACATGGCAAGAGGGACAAGAAGTTTCATACTAGAATGCATCTTGTTGCTGAAATAGCAAAGTCATGCTCATCCCCACTCATGACCAGGCAAATGCTTCAAAGCCAAAAGAAATCTGTTTATTTCTTTTTTTTAAAGTAAATGGAATAAACATTGTACAGGTTAGATGGGTGTAAACAGAAAAGAGGAGGGGTCTGGGTCTTTTTTTTTTTCACATATGAGGTGGGGAGGAGAGTTGCCTTTTCATTGATGCAAGACTTGGATTGGGTAAACCCCAGCAGTCTATACACCTCACCTTCAGGGCACAGTTTCAGTCAGCTTAAGCATAGCTTGTCTCATTTTCCAGCCAGTTGTATATATTTTCTTTCTCAGCTCTAGCAGTTTTGAGGCCACCGTGCTAATTGGATCATTCCACTGATTTTGCTGAAAAAGTCCTGTTATGGAATAGCTGTAAGTCAGGTCTGACTCAGCTTACAGTCCTGTGATTAGAAGAAAAATGGAATTGGGCTTGGCTACCCTTTTGGTGAAAGCTGTCCTTGGACAAGGAGCCCACACCCTCAGAGATATTCTCATTAATGCCTTAAATGGGAAATTGAACTAATATGTTAACCTAGTATAAATCTGTCCATATTTTCTCTTCGAAGGGGCTAGGTTTTTTAATGGTTATATGTCTGTTCTAAAGTCTGTTTTGCTGAAGGTTTGTTTATGCACCTTAATTAACATTTAGGATGTAAATCTTAGGAAAAATAAAGGCAGCCCTAGCTTTTGTCAGCCTCTTGCAGGTTATTTTTTGATTTTGCACAACCACATATTATCAAAACAGATGTTGGAGATAAACTGGGAGATAGGGGCACTATACATGGCATGGTCAATGAAATTGATATTTGAACCCTCAGGTTTAAATGGTTTGTGCTGTGCTGAGTAAGAGTGGGGCTAAGGATGCTGGTTGATATTAGGTTGTTACATCCTACCCACATTCCATTTTTATTGAGTTACATGAGCAAAAGTGAGGTCCTATGTTAAAATGTCAAACTCCCTTATTTCAGAGAATTTCTGAATTTGAAATCTGAAGGTGAGCATGTGTGAACAAGGTGCTCATTAAATAAAGCTGCAATGAAACACAGGTTACAGTCCACTCTTAAATGACTATTGACCTACCCCATGGGATGCCACTGTGCAAAAATAGCATGTTAAAGATTCAGCTCACATGTTGAAGCACAAACTCACATGTCATTATTTATCCACTGTTTCTCACCCTGTAGTGGCAGGCAGAGACACACATGTGGGCCTTTTCCCTGATCTAAGATGCCACATAAAAAAATGAGCGCAAACTCATAATCTTGTTCTGAGTAAATGAGATATCAGGATAGATTGGGACATTTTATGTGAAAGGGGAAATTCATAGTTATCAAGAGTTAACTATATTTAACAAGCCTACCGTATGTCTGCCAACATAAAAGGTCTGTCAAAATTTCATTAGATTTGGCTGCAGTTCTGTGCAGTAAACCTGTGTTGGTAGTAGTCAGTTTGAAGCAATATGATCTAAATACCTGTCATGTGGACCAGTTTTGTGGTCATCCTATTCTAACCACTGTAGGCACGTGTCAATATGAATTTTAAAAGCAGAAGGATAAAAATGATGTGAAATAGCCTAGCTTACTCTTCCTATCTTTCACAAGCATGGCTGTAAAACAATATATATTTTAATATAAGTTATGAGTGAACGAACACGAACATGTCCATGAAGGTGAACAATCTGGCCTGTGTTCTGGTGGATGACTTTTTCCTGCTGCACAGGGCATTTTCAGATTCCATGTTCTCTTCATTTTACTTTTTTAAAAAGCTGTTGTTTTGTCCCTATGGTTGAGTTCCTTAGTCTGAAAGATAGCTTAAACCAGTATTTCTGAGAAGCCTCTTCTTTTCCTCGGCTATTGTTTCATATTGCAAGGCCTGAAGAGCAATACTCTTTCAAGGCCACCTGTGTCTTCTTCAGTCATTTCCTATCCACTGTGATGGCACACCATCCACTGTGCTGAGAGTGGGATTTGGGAATTGAGCTGCATTAAAAACAAAAATGGGTGAAATGTATTCATTTATAATATATTACATATGAGTGAAATATACTCATTCATTTATATATAAATGATATATTCATTTATAGTGCCATCACTTCTCTGATCCTTCACTTATACTGCACACCAGCAAACAAGGAATATCAAGAACGTCATAAAGTAGTAGAGCAACAAACTCTGTCCCAAAGCTGTGATTGCTATGGACTTGACTTCCAAGTTCCAAGCTGTTCAGTGCTTGTAGGATGTTGCTGTCAAGTTTTTTGCTGGAGGTATTGGTAAGAGGTGCAGGAATCTGTATTCTGTTTGCTCCAGAAAAATATTATATAGGTGTATGTAAAATGTATTAAAAATGTATATAAAAATAATTTAATTGGACTCTACAAACCAGAAGTTGACAGTCCTTTCCTTTTTGAACTGCTGTGTGAGTAAATATGCACAGTTTTAAGATTATTCTTGCATTTTCAGCATAATTTTGCCCAAATGTTTAAATAGTAAATTCATCATTTTAAGAAACAAATGCCAGTGTTGTGTAAATGCACTGAAGTATAACAGCATAGTACCAGCAGTTTATAAAGGTTTACAACTGTTTTTCTTCTCTATTTAAGGTGGCCTAAGACATGCAGTAGCCAGTATAGCAGGAGTTGAAGCTTACAAATACATGAAGTTTGAAGGAGGAGTGCATCGTGTTCAGCGGGTACCAAAGACAGAAAAACAAGGACGCATTCATACCAGCACAATGACTGTTGCAATATTACCCCAACCCACTGAGGTAATATTTCTCTTTCAGTATAACAGACATGTTGCCCTGATTTGTAAAAGTGTTAAGTTTTCTTTTATAGTTCTTTTGAAAGTTTTAAAGTTCTTTTAAAAGTTTTCTATGCCTTCTGATGTTTAAATATTTCTACTGGCGTTTTCATGCACCGTTCATGTAAATAATGATTGTTTTTCATTCTGCTTTGTTGGAGTAATTAATGGACTGTTGGTTTGACCAGTGTGGTTGGAGAGGTGGCAATTTCATCCTCCAATCCACTGTCACTTTTGGAATTCTATATATTGTGAGGTCAGAAATAAAGTTGGCTCTTTTTCTCGTTTGAACTTACCAAGCTTCTGTATACTCATTTCATGTCCAGTAGCAACACAGACATTACCAGGAACAATGTTTGATGCCAAATGTTTTCTGTCTCTCTTGATATTTTCACATAATGACTTTTTTAATCTTAATTTTAAACTAGGTCATATTTGTTATTTTATCACAGGGATGAAATAAAGAATTGCTATCTTTTCTCATATTTCTAATTTCAATAAAGTAAACAGGCTTTACTTAACTATGACTTGAAAATTAACTGTGACTGTCTGGCATGTGGAAAACTACATTTTCTGCAAACTAACAAAAGACGGAATCATTTTACAAAGCTCATAGATTACTTCTTTTAGCACTTCCTCTTTCCCATTTTTGTACTGTCCTTACTTGCCTGTTCTAAAATGTATGATAATTCAGTTTTGCTATATTTGCTTGCTTTGTTTTGATCTTAGTTTTATGTTGACGTAGCAGATTGACAAAGATGTTACTCCTTTCTGAACTTTCTTACCTTGCTCCTTCCTCACAGAGACTATTGCTCCACTCCAAAGCCAAAAAAGGAAATGTCTTCCATTTAATTTAAAAACCATCTAATCAAGCTCAAATATTGGTTGACTCTGCTGGAAGAGAATGCAGAGCTCTCAAAAGAGAGGAAAATTAGTGCTAAGCAGTGGTTATGCATTAAATTACTATTTGGCTGATTTCTGGGGTTCCATCGTGATGCATTCAAGTCTGATTACCATGATTTCTTAATACGTTTATAAGAGGATTTGAATTAGTACCCATAAGCATTCAGAAGTTTGATCTTGCATGATCGTGCCTTCTAAAATAAACTGACTGTGCATATTTGATATCTGTCTAGAAAGAAGCAACATAAAATACTTTTCTTTTTCTCCTGTCTCCCATGACAGATGAGGCTGCAAATTAGTCCAAAAGATCTACGGATAGAAACAAAGCGAGCTAGTGGAGCTGGAGGCCAGCATGTCAATACAACAGATAGTGCTGTACGGATAGTTCACATTCCAACAGGTGCTGCTTCATTCTTTCCTTAGTACAAGATCCACATTCCAAAACTGCTGTCAGAATTTCTTTTGAAACAATGGTTTTATTTTCAAACCTGGGCAACAGTAGAGCAGAGGTTTAATGTAATTTTCATGTCTATTCATACTACTCTAAAATGCATCATCACTTCAGTTTTTAACAGTGAAGACTACTGGCTTCAGTTGGTGAGCTATAATTTTGCTGTTAAACATGGCACTCTAAAAGCAGTCAGATCATTTTCTATCAAAAAATTATATTTAAACTTTCAAATAATGAAAATTAAACCGAAAAATGGAGTAGGTTGAAATCTAATGTTCTGAATTTTCTTGACTAGTCTCCAAAAGAGACATTGTGTTATTTTCATATTAAAACATTACTTTTAATTGCAGAGTCTACTCAGAATGCCAGCTCCCCTTCGTCTGCTGGCTCCTTTCCCGTAGATGACACACATAATTAAGAGGCCCATCCCTCTGGCTCAGGTTAGGAAACATAGCAGGGATAAGATACACCCTCAAACACTACCTGATTTTAACTCTGGTATGGGGGCTTTTTATTGCCATTCCTAAGCCTTTTACTTCCCTTTGAGCAATTCACAACAGCCTTCTTGACTTTCATTGCATTTTAACTTTTCCTCTTCTCTACCACAAATATTCATCAGGCTTTACTTTACACAGTTTCAGGGTAATCCCAAGCCCTCTTTATCCATGTATCCAGATTTTTGCCACACAATTCTTTGTATCTGTTTAAAACATCAATCCATTCTGCACTTGTTGCAGCACTCTAGTAAAGCAGACCGCAAACAGTGGAGAGGTTAAAATTCTGTTCACTATATGGTGACAGAAAGATACCCCAGATTAAAAATGTTTTGCATTGCCTGTATGTTTGGATAAAAACACAACAAACTAAAACCAGCAATTGATCTTAGGTTTTGCTGATGGCTGTTATTAGGATGTCTTATAGAAATCTTAAAGTATGTTGCAAATTTTTTGCACTTATACAAAGTTAACAGGGGACATTAGCTCCTGACTTTTTTCTGTTCCACCTTTCCCTTCTTTATTTCTCTGATCTCTCTTCCCTTAAAATTGTCCTGTTGCTTCTTCTATTTCTCTCATCCTAAATCTTTTTATAAACCTTCACTGCGATCCAAAATGTTGTTTATAAATAAGTCTTTTCAGAAAGTAATACTATGTAATCTTATAAAATCATCCTCTAATATTACCAGAGCTACTTAACAAGTCCAAATAACAACATAGTTCGTACTGTATTTCTTCTTCCTGCTCCTTTTTTGGGCTTTTCATTTCTTACCTTTAATTGTGTGTTTTGGGATGACAAAGAACACTGTTCTATTTTTTTAAATAAAATAGTGCCCACTTTTTTATATTCTGACCATATGCTAAGCACTCTCTTGCTTATGTATTTTACTATTCTTTAAATCCTGTGTTTTCTGGAACTGTAGCCAAAATTTATGACTAATGAAGGTGTTTTTTATAAGTCAGATCACATCACATATCTTTTATTTCATTATCCATCTGTTATCCAGGTGAAATAAATTTCCACTTAATTAAATTTCTTGTTTTATGGCTTAAAACACCTGTACAACTCAGCCTACACATCTCTCCCAAAATGTATCATTACTTATTAATAAACTTGGACTTCTACATTCCCAGTCCAAATGTAACAGCCTAATATAACATACAAAAAAATCTTCCAGAAATTGCAGAGCTCTTTTAGTATGTGTTAATCTTAAATGCTAAATGTCACGATATTTTTGACAGGGATTGTGTCTGAATGTCAGCAAGAAAGATCCCAAATTAGAAACAAAGAGAAGGCTATGCAAATGCTGTGTGCTAAACTATACAATGCCAAATTAGAAGAAGAAACCAAAAAGAGAAACTATGCTCGAAAGATTCAAGTAAGTTTCACTTAGTTGTGATATACAAACATGTGTCTTTATGTTCAATAGTTTTGTCAAACAGCAAGTAGTAAATGGAAACATAGAACAGCAGGAGCCCAGAAGGGACTTAAATGAGACAAAAAAAGTAATGGAATCACAGAATGGTTTGGGTTGGCAGGGACCTTAAAAATAATCTAGCTCCAACCCTCCTACCATGGGGAAGAGATGCCTTCCACTAGGCCACTCCAGAGAGCAAAATTTGTGGAGTCCCCCAGGCTCTCTAAACAACAACATTACATTTTACTGCAGCAATAAAGCCCATATATTAGCCAGACTTAAAATTTCAGTAGTAGGTAAATCCTAGAGATCCAGTGAAACAAACTGGATTGCAGCATGAAGAACCAGAATAGTATTAGAAAAAGATGCAGTATAATTGTTCTTTTACATGTTTGAGAACAATTATTGCAGCTGTAGAAGTGATCTGAGTACTATATAACTCTAGCAAATTTTGTATAGTCAGGTGAGGAAGAGAAACCTATAGCTTTATATGCCTAATCAATATTTCACCATTTTTGTAAGATGATGATAAACTGATTCTTCTTGTTCAACAGATTGGGACTAAAGGAAGATCAGAGAAGATCAGAACATACAACTTTCCGCAGGACAGAATTACAGACCACAGAATAAGCAGATCAGTGCATCATGTTGAGTCTTTCATGCTAGGGGAAGAAATGCTAGATGAAATGATACAAACTCTGAGAGAATATGCTGATTATGAATCTCTAATGGAAATTATTTCAGAAAATGAAAAAAATAATTCCTCCTGAACATTGTTCTTTCTCAGGCCTTTACAACACATGTCGACCTTGATCTGCAAAGCTTTTCAGAGCACCACCCAGAAAATGGAACTACTTTTCTCATCATGAAAATCATCACAACTTGTTTCCTAATGAATATTAAACAGTTTTCTTACTTGCTGAGTAAAAGACTTTATTATCTTCATATAAGACATTATTGCTGCTGTAGTCCTTTTGAAAAGTTTACTTGATTGCACCAGAAGTAACAGCAGTTTTAAACAACTTCTACTGATACACTACTCTCAAAAGGTATGCATGCGTTAAAAAAGGAGTTATTTCTAGTTCCTATTTTCGTTTAAACTATGGCTTAACCATCACACAACAGTGTGAAATAGCTTATTTGAGAGAACAAAAAGTCCTATTTTGTTTGAGTGATTGGAAAAAAGTGATAAATAAATTACACACTCTGTCCACATACTCATTAATCACTTACATGTGACATGGGAAAGGGAGTCAAAGTGTATCTCTGTCATGTTTCCAAGGCCTTCTGGCCCTTATTTATAAATACAAAACAAGTTTAGGAATATCCCTTGTGCGAGGAAAAAAAGCCATGGAAGCCAAGTGATGAATCATATGAATTGGTTTTGGAACAAATATTACTGTTCTTGAGTCAAAAATTAAAGTAATGGTTACAGTATTGTTCAATTGATATTTCAGTGTCCAGTTGACTTCAGTTCAGTGCCTCCTTTATGGTTTTAATTGAATGCCCAAGTTGTTAATCTTCTAAAAGTTATGTGCTATGACCAGCATTTACTGGTTTTGTCTGTTTATTTAACAGCATTTTAAAACATCTGATACCTTTACCATTTTTTTTCTAGTAAACTCTGCATGGTAACTATGATTAAGTTCCAAGTCTTTTAATTTAAGATGCATTCATTAACTTAAGATGAAGGAATGTCTGTGTGCATAAGATGAGGCATACATATTTCCTTTTGATGAGCATGAGTCCTAGGTCTGTATTTACTAGCAGTTTTATAACTCCAAACTGTCACATTAAAAAAGTAAAAAGAAATATTGACTCAATTTTTGTGTGAAATTATTAGATTCCTATTTGAGCAGAAACTAGGACTAAAGTCTTCATTCTTACCCGATCAGTATGATAAATGGAATGCTGAAGAGCACTTGTGACAGTCCTACATACATGATTTTAAAAGCCAGATCTTCTTATGCCAAGTGATAGATGAAGTTTGCTGTTCAGCTTCATATTCTTCCAAGCAAATAAGGGCCATTGACCAGGTCTGCACACTGGACTTCTACATGAAACTTAGGTAATTGTTTGGGTCTTCGTCATCCTAGACCTTCCCTAATCTTCCAGTTTGTACTCTGTCTGGGCAGACATTCTCATCTGGCTCTTGAACAAACACTAAATGTGTTACTGCCTTGCAAGTGACCAGGCTTTGACCAGTGTGAGAAAAAACAGACATTGTGCAGTTCTCGCAGGAGGCTGACAGAGGTATTCCAAACCTAGTGTCTGACAGTGCTGTACATAGGTGGACTTCACTGTCCTTGGCCCATCATGTCAAGATTTACTGTGTAGAGACTTGAAGTCCCCTGCTTGCTCTGTGTTAACTTTAATGCAAGGGATGTTGTCTCTGCAAATGCAACCTCCTTGAGCTGTGAGCAGATTGCCTTTCCAGCAGTGGTGGGGATTCCTGCACTGGTGTCCAGTCAGCCTAGCTCCCGGGAGTTCTCTGGCTCACTTTGCAACCACTGGTTATGTAAAATAAATACAATTATTTTATGGGGAGTAGCCTGGGTCAAGTTAGAAGGAACCACAGTGGGTCATGCAGTCCAACATCCCTCCTTAAGCCTGGTCATCCTAGAGCACATGGCACAGGATTGCATCCGGGCAGTTCTTGAATATCTAAAGTGCGAGTGAGAATTCTTTCCCGGTAGAGGAGCTTTGCACGTTCGGTGCGTGCCGGGGTGATGTGGGTATCCTAGGCGCGTCCATTTAAACCAGCAGAGCCAGATGCAGCTGGGCGCCAAGCTGGGCTTAGGCGCGTGTCAGTGCCGGGAGGGGCAGCCGGGGGCTCCTCCGGCCCCGGGCGCGGTGCGGGGCCGCAGGGCGGGAGGAAGGGGCGGGCGGGAGCGGCCGTGCGCGGGAGCCGCGGCCGTGCGCGGGAGCCGCGGCCGCGCCACTCGCGTCCCTCCCTGGCGGCCGAGGAGGGAAAGCGAGGGACGGGCCGGCCCCGCCCGCCGCGCCGCGGATTGGCCCCCGCCGCCTGCCCGCCGCCCATTGGCCGCGCTACGCGCCCCGGCGCCTCGCCATTGGCTGCCGCGGTTTTGGACACCAAATTTAAAGTTTTTAAAAAGCGGCCGGCGCGAGCGGGACTCATTCACTGCCCGCGGCGGCGCCGGCGCGGCCCTGCAGGTGAGCGCGGCGCGGGCAGCGAGCCCCGCCGGGAGCCGCTCTGCGGCCGCGGGGCTCCACGGCCAGGGCTCCGCTCTCGGGCCGGCTTGGGGGCAGCGGGGCTCCGCGCTCAGGGCTTTTTGGCTGGGGTGGCGGGAGCTGCCGGCGTACGTAGTGGCGGGACCGTGCGGATGCTGGCGGCGGTACCGTGCGGATGCTAGCGGCGGTACCAGACGGACGGGGGGAAGGGGATTCCTGGTGGCCGCCCGGTCCCACTGCTCTCCTAGCGTAGCCCCGCAGCTATCCCGCCGGCGGGACGGGATGGGACGGGACGGTGGCGCACTGGCGGTCGGGGAGCGCCCCGATCCCGCCAACGAGCCGCGTGTGCGGTGGTCCCGGCTGCTCGCCGCACTGGCGGGGCCGGAGCCGGCCGGGGTAGGGATCGCAGCCCAGCTCCCGCCGGCGGGCAGCGGCGAGCGGGGAGGCGCCGCGCCGCGCTGCCTCCCGCCCGCCGGCCACGCCGTCAGAAGAGCATCCCCCCGGCGCGCTCCTGCCCGCCCCGCCACCAAGGATTTAGGGGGAATCCTCTATTGCGGGGGAAATCCTCCATTGCGGGAGGCCCCCGAAGGCGATGGGTAAAGTTTCCGGGGCCGTAGTGCTCAGCACAGCGGAACCGGGACCCGGTCTACCTGCACCGACCCGGGCCATCTTGAGCGCTGGGCGGGAGAAGCCTGACAGCGCCGCGGGGCCCCGCGGCTGAGCCCGCGCCTTCGGGGGTCGGGGCAGGCCCTGGTGCACCGAAATGTGATTTGGGGACATTTTCTAAATCATCAGGATTTCAGCCCAGAAGCTTCTCCCGCCGTTCGCAGGGAAGGGGACAAGGAGGCTTAGGAAGGGCTTTGCACCTCATCTCCCAACTTACACGATACAAAGCCATGAGCCTTCTTGCTCCTTTCTCCCACCGAACCTAGGTACAAAGAGGGAAGTTTTTCTCTAAGTCGTTCATGGGTACATTTTTCTCTTGGCTCTTTCCAAAACTTCTGGAAGTGCTTAAATACTTTAAAATGCTTACTCAAATCGGGGTCTTTTATTTCCTACGGATTGCAAAGCATGTTGAAACTTATTTTCCCTTTAGATTCAACTGGGGAGAGATGACCTCCTTCTCCCCTTCAGCTCTCGCCCATCCCCCCGCAATTGTTAATATAGATAGCACCACATTTCGCGGGGGAGGGGAATGGAACAGGGCAAGAAAAGCTCAGTTCCCCTATGATATCTATCCATCTCCCACCCTCTCTAAATCATGCTTAAACCTTTATTTCCCTGACCATTGTTTAAGTATGGCTTCTTTCCTTTGTATTTTACTCACACATGTGAGCACTCAAGCTTTTCCTGTGCCACCCAGCCTCCTCCCTTCTCAAAAATGCCAGATATCTGGCTTCAGCAGCAGCAGCATTGCTTCTGGTCTTGGATGCAAACTTCAGGCTTCTCTGGCCTGCACAGGCCTGCGGTCACTCATGGACCCTCTGCCACTGGTGTCCCTTGCAGGGACCTCAAGTGTCTTGACTATGTTACTACCTTTATGGTAGGAAGTGGAAGCACTGGTGTGTCTCATCTATGCTGGTGAAATGGTGACCAAATCACTCAGTCAGGTTTCTTTCCTTAGTTACATGCAGCATAAACCTAGTTTTTGGGAAGATCTTACATAGATTTAATTAGTGGCTATTCAAGTGCTTAGTTCCATTGGTTGTATTTTAGACACCAGAAGGTGAGTCAGATAAATGCATAAAATTCATAAAGCAGAAGGGAAGCATGATAAGAATCCTTATAAGAAAAAGAATTAGTGATCTAGTGTATGATGTGTTTTCATACTGCCCTTGTCTCTTGCAGAATACAAACAACAAAATGAAATCGAACCTTAACCGCTCTTGCAAAATGAAATGTGATTTTGATTGCACATCTCTTCATGCTGGGTTTGCACCACTGAAAAGTGCTGCGGAGAAAGCAAGACTGGAAAAATCCTGCCCCTTGAATTATGAGGAATGCTTTTGTAAAAGCTCTGCAGGAGAACATCAGAAAATGCTCCTTAGTGACTCATACCATGCAGCCACCAGAAATACAGATCTTGAAGATGCAGAAAGACCCATACATAACAAAGAAAATAACCAAGTAATCCAGAGACTTGGTGAAGGTATCTGTGAAATAGAGGCAATGGAAAGCAGTAAACTTCATGAGGACAGTGGTTATTCTTCTATGTTAAGTACTCACTATGCAGATGCAATAGAACATGAGGATAGTTTACCTTTGGCTGGGAATCTCTGTGGTACACCAAATCATTGTCTTATGAAGAACCAAAACCAAAAACAGTTTTCAAAGAAGACACTGTTGCCAATAATCCATTATGAAGAAGTGGTTTGCTCAACTTTGAAAAAAAATGGTAAAAGAAATCTCAAGTCTTGGGCTGCTGTAGACAGAATTGTTTCTAGGGGAAAAGTTGAACTTTGTAACTTGATTGGAAAGAAAATGGGGCTGGATAGAATAGACATTCTTGCTGAACTCTTCCAAAAGGACCTGAAGCATATATTAGCAAACATTTTAAGGCATCTCAGCGAGATGGATTTAGTAAAGTAAGTATATTGATATCATTGTATTTCACTGGGAAAGGAAAAAAACCTAAACAGATGCCTTAATGTTTTAGATATAGAGCTTGTGACATTTACTCAAGGTTTACTATTATGTGTTTATATATTAAAACATGAACTGCCAATGTAAGCCATGATACATATGGAGAATTTCTCTTTTCCCTAAAAGGCAAATTAAAGACAGCAACTGTGAACATCTTCTATCTTGATGTAAAAGAAACAGGTTACAGTTTTTCTTGCTATTTAATAAATCTCTTTCCTAGGAGGCAACTGATGTGTTTGTATTGTTGTTGCAGTTTTGCCAAAGTCAGCACAACATGGCAGAAGATTCTACAAGAAGATAAATGGATTTTCCAAATGTATAGCAGAGCTGTGAAAAACCTTTCTGTAAGTTTCTGCATTGAACCATCAGTGGTTTTCTGCTATTTCAAGTCTCTTCCTACACTCAAGTGACCACAGAAAAGTTTCTTGGATTGAAATCTGTCACAGGAGTGTCTGAGTTTGTCCTGTTAGGATACCTTGTCTCAAGCATTGCTAGTTACATCAGGACTTGGGGGACCCCAAGGAAGGTTGACTGAGAAGGTGACCCAAGGAGAAATGCAGATGTTTTTAAAAACTTCCACAAATCCTGTGTTACAGAGAAAGGCAGGAAATAGAAAGTCATTGCCAGCACAGCCCACTGGGCAAGCCCTAGAGTCTCCTTGCAGGGGCTTGCTTCCTTCAGCATCCCCACTGATCCAAAGGGAGGAAGACTGAGATAAATCCCACAAGTGGCTCTTTGAATCAGGGTCTCTGTTTATAGCAGTAATCTCTAGAGTCCACCATGTCTGCTATGGAAACTGAAAAGCTTTTTGCACTGTGAGATATTCCTAATGCCTTGTTCTGTGAAATAAAAATACTTGTTCCATCCACACTAAACTAGCGTTTTATCAAATCAGGACTCTTAAAACATTAACTTTTTCCTTCTTGAGAGATGGAGAGACAGAACAAAGGCTTAGGATATACCACAGGATAAGGTTGTTAACCAGTTTAAGTTTTATGTGGTATTTTACAATGCTGTTGGGTGAAACATTTGTATTGAATATTCATCCCATAAAGTTTGATTTCTTCCATGCTATTGTATGCTTTTTTTTAACTTGAACTGGAAACTTGAAAAATTGGTGGATAGAGTTTTTTTTTCCCAAAGAAAGCTTCAAGCATTCCTGTTCACCATAAAGAATTGGAAGTACTGATTTTCTTTAAAAGCTTGTGATGAATAAGTTACATGCTCTGCCTAAATGACTGTGTTAATATGAAAGCAGAATTACGTAATAAAAGATGGTTGGTTTTTGACCAAGGACTAGGGAGGTGTTCTATGCATTTTTAACAGAAGTGACTGTGCAAGTTATGGTAAAATCAGTAGCACTTCTTGGTGTGATGCTTTATTATTGGAAACTGGGAAGAAGAATCTAAAATCATTATTTACATCTATTAAACAAAAAACTGTATTTTAGGTAAGTTCTCTTCCCAAATTTAAGTCTTTGTTTTTCTTTTCATTAGAATGTCACTAAAGCGCCAGAAAATGTTGCAACAAGAGAGTACGTTCTCTACAGAGTGTCCTTAGCTTCCATTCAGAAAGCAACCCCACCAAAATACTTGAACAAAAAAAGCACCAGACCCAAAGCATCTAGGAATCACAGCAGACTCACAGAGTTTTCTGAGGTAAGTGGTGATTTCCACTGATCTTTAATTGCTCTCATGTTGTCTGGCAAACAATCACCTTGTAGAGGGTATTTTTGAAAGTAGCATCTCCAGTTTCAAGTATTTGTAATTCTTATTAGTATAGCTGCCAAATTTTGCTTAGTGTGCCTATTTTAAGACACTGTCAGAAGCTGGTGGAGAGAATATTGATATACTGGGATGTCCTACAACCTTTCTTTTTCCTTCTTAAGAATTTCATTTAGTGAATTTTTTTTTTGCTTAAATTTTTTCTTGTCAGATAGGAAAAAATTTAGTAATTTCCTGTTGTTTTCCGTGGGTTTATTATAATGAATCACATATTTTCCAGATAAGCAATATCACAAAAACTGTCAACTTTGTTTCAAAACTGATGGACAATTAGGAAAACAAATTTTCTGTGGGGTATTTGAAATTACTTTTTTAACCCTTCACCTTGTTATTTTAAAGCTGGTTTTTTTTCTACATACTTGCAATGTAGGCCTGCACCTGTATCTTAAAAAACTTTTAAAAATGCTTATCAAAAGTTTTTTCTTGCTATTAAGCAAAAGATTTTCCTAACTAGAAAAAGGTTTTATGCTCAAGTCTTATTCTGCAAATTGATGCAATAAGAGAAGATGGTGATAGGTCACTGGAAAGTATAATCAAGATGCTGTAATACTACTTTATAGAACTTTGTAGCATTAGGAGGGTAAAGGTACAACTGTTCAGTAGCAGTCATAAAATTTAATTCCTGATATATGCATCTATACACAACTACGTCACCATCCTTGAATGAGGTTTGGAAGATTCAGGAAGGCTGTTATCCTTACTGCTCTTGATTTAGCCTGTGCTTTAACTTTTAAATTTAAAGAATTTAAAATTGGTTACCTCTATTCAAGTTCAAAATACCTGCAATTATATCCTGATTATTCCTGTTCTGAATTCCATCAGAATTTTATGCAACAAGAATTAGGCTAAGTTTTTAATTTATCTCCTTATATTAGAAGTTATAATATGTTTGTGGCACTAAGATAATATCAGGAAATGTTTGGAGAGTGTATTTACCCTCTACTCATGATTTTCTGTGTGCTTTTCCCAACAGGCTGCTAGGAACTTGAAAAACACTGAAAGCCTTAAAGCCTGCCATCGCTGTGGCTCACCTGCCAAGTATGACTCCTACCTCCAAAGAGCAACGTGCAATCGTGAAAGCTGTGGCTTTGACTTTTGCACTAAGTGCATGTGCAGCTACCACAGCTCCAGTGACTGTGTGAGCAGCAAACCAGTGAAACACACTTCTAAACCAGGGCCACTTCCTGGGACTAAGAAAAGCAAACAGAATCTAAAGAGATTGTGATCCATCCCCCCAGTACAAACTGACAAATGTCCCATAAAAGTTTTTCAAGTCATCCATGAAGAGAATGCTTTCTGCTATTCATATTCATGAAAATGGTTAATTCTGTTATTCCTGTTAATTTATCATTCTGCTCAGAAAGGTTTTAAAAGCATTTCTGGTGCTGTCGAGTGAGGTGAGTGAAGCCCCTTTTAATGTGAAAATGTGAGGGAGACTAGATTTTATGGTTTTTTGAAGCTTTACCTTTGATTTTAAAATGTGGACATTCATAATAACACTTTCTCTGATGGCTTCTCTTATGTGAATCTGAAATTGCTCTTAATTTCTTCTTTCATTTATTGAACCTCTTCTAAGTTCAAAAAAAAAGTACTGTATATTGGCTGTACTGCTAAAAAATACTTTGACTTTTTTTTGAAATTACAAGGAAATTTTAATATTTGTATATATTTGTAAATAGTATTCATATTTGTCTTGTAAATGTGAAAATAAATGATTATTCTCAACTTGGTTGGCAAATCTGGCCTTCCTATTTATCATCCTGAGTGCTTCTCATACTCATTTTGCAAGTTTTCTAGTGTGTGCTTCTTTAAATTGTTGATTCAACAAAGGGCAAGTCCTCCTGGGTTTGTGTAAAACAGTGTACTGAATCCATTGTCATGCTGTATTCCTGAATCTTACCTAAAGGCTCTTATCGGTAATTGCCTGTAGTGTCAAAAGGGCCATCACTTCCTTTTCATTTCAATGGAAATTTTTCTTTTGGCTGGATTTATTCTGCTGTTGTCAAACTAGCTCACTGTCAGCAAAATATTCCTGATGCCACAGTAAAGAAAGACAAGCTTTCAAGAAATAGACTAATATTTTTGTGGAATTATCTAGGGTGGTTTTTTTCTCTCTTTGGTAAGTAAATAACTGACTGGGAGTACTGCGCTGTAGTCCTTCTTCTTGAACAATAATCTGTGTAGTGACAGGACAAGTGGAAATGGCTTCAAAGTTAGGAGAAAGATTTGCATTAGATATTAGGGAAAAATTCTTTACTGTGTGGGTGGTCAGACACTGAAACAGGTTTCCTAGAGAAACTCTGGAAGTGTTTATGGATCTCTAAACAATCTGCTCTAATGAAAGGTGTCCTTCTCTGCAGCAGGGGGAGTTGGAACTAGATTATCTTTAAAGTCCCTTCCAACCCACATCATTCTATGAATCTGTAATCCTATTATACTTTATTCTGGTATTTAGATAGTACCATCTTGATACATATAAAACCACAGTAAGTGTTAGGCTGAGCACACAGAGATAAGAAATCTTACAAGCAAAATTTGATAAAATTTTCATCTCTACTGAAATTCCTCTGTCCTGAAGAGTGCAGATAATGTGATATGAACAGAAATGCTATTTCCTATAGTAATTTGAAGAAATATGGCACAGGTATTCACTCAGACTGGTGTTGCACTGTAGGATACATCGTGAATTAAAATGGTGTGTTTTCAAATTGAATGTGGTAAATCAAGTACCTTTTCATATTTTGGCGCTTACTAAAGGAACAACACTTTCTAGTAGGTCTAACAATTTGTACACTGAATAATGAACAGCTCTTTTTTTTTTTCATTTTTAGCTGTAGAAATTTATCTGTTGATGGAGAATTTTGAGAAAAATTCCTTATTGCCTCCAGATAAGAGGGAAGAAATGGACATTTTTCACTAACTTCTGAATGATAAGGAGCAAGTATCTTTTACTTGAAACCTTGTTGGAAAGGTCAAATTATTTGACTGAATGAAGCTTTGGCCAAGCTGTAACGGATCTGCTGAAAACATTGTTGCTATTTTCACTTGTCCAACCATTTTTTATTTATATGATCCTCAGAGCCTTGCCTACCACCTTTAGTTTTAATCAGAGTAGATATTCAAGATTGCAGCTGTCAACAGGCGGGTGACATCTCAAGGACCTTGATCTGTTATCAACAGTTACAATTTTCTTATGCATAGGATCTGTTATGGTAGCACAGCTATTTCTTTATCATAATCCTGCCCAGCATTTCAAACCTTGCCCAATAATACTGAGCATGGAGCCTGAATAAAACCATGCATCTTACTGAAAGTCGCAGGATGTTTGGTCTCCTCATCGTTTCAGTGAATGGTGAGCTGTGGGGGCAATCAGTTCCCACCCAGGCGAGCTAGCATCTGCTGCTGAGGGAGAAAGCAGGTCCTCAGAGTGAGGATGATGGGTGTTACTACTAGTAGGTGCCCCAAGGAGCGCTGAGGAGAGTGATTTGTGTGTCAAAGGTGTGAAAGTCCTAGATGCAGATTATTGTGAATGTCTCTGCTCAGCTATCTTGGATTTGCCTTTGATATGCAATCGTTGTGAGTCATACCTAGGGCAAGAGCATGGCAATTGCCACATGGAGATCAGTACTCCTCAGGTACTGCTGCAGCTGTTGTCAAAAAGCACTTTCAAACTCAGCAGTTGGCAGCCCCAGTGACTTTGCAGGAATGTGATAAGCTGCTTACCCACACTGCATACTCCTTTCAGATCTACAGAGGGTGATAAATGCCTACAGGCTGCCAGAGTCTCCTGGTGCAAGTACAGATTTCTTCCAGTTACTTACTTATCTCTAGCATGGTGAGGAAGGGTGGGACGTTTCTCTGCTGTGTAAATTGCTGTGTCTAGCAGCTGTTCCCCCCAGTTTGAACAGCTGTGAAGACAGATTATTCCTTCATACTAATGCTAGCTGGGAGACAGACAAAGGTCGGCATTTAGGACTTTCTGAAATCAATATTTAGTATCTGCATTTTTCAGGTTTTATTTCTTGCATTTACGATGCTGTCCTGAAAAACCCAAGGAGCTGCTCGAGGTGCTTGCACCTTTCTGCAAGTCATTAGAGACAATTTCTGCTCTCACCACAGCAAGGAGAGAAGCTGAAGAAAAGTGCTGGAAAGTGATGGTAGTCACTTGGATAAACAGGGACAAGTTTGGATGCACTTATCAGTTTAATATGTCCTCCAGCAGAAGCCTTTGTGCTCTGAGGACTCTGGGACATGTAAGAATCAAAACGAGAAAAAACAACCCTCAACTCTGCAGCTACTGGCACCTTAGCCCAGCTAGTCACCTCAGAGCCCGATTTCTAACGTGTTGCAAAACTGCAGTGCCAGATACGTTCTCCCTAGCCAAAGGTTTCACTACAAGTAAGCAAAATTTTCGCATGTTGAATTTTTTTAAGTGTGTAATCATAGTTTTATCAGTGACCACTCTCAAAAAATGCTGTATATTTAGCCCTAAAATATAAAGTCTGTCCTGACTTAGAGACTTTAAAAAGATGGAATCTAGGTTAAGATTCTAAATAAGAATTCTATTCCCACCTCCCGAAGCCAAGGACTTCCCTTTTGAGGAAATTATGCCGTAGTAGAGATTTTTTAGAAATGAAATCTGTTCTGGAAAGGGAAAACCACGAGATGGTGCTCTTGACTCACTCAATGTGTGAAGTTGGATTCATTGAGTTCCTTTTGCTGTGTTCACAGAGAGTGTATTCCCTTCTCCCTTAATAACGGTAGCTGAAGATGTAGTTACTACAGTCATGAGGAATCAGATGATGAAATCTGCAACCAGAATAAAACCCAAACCTTGAATTTCATTACTGATTCTAACATTTGTTTCAAACATATTTGTGTAGAATATGTACACCTTTGCTAACCTTAAAAATATACAGGAGCCTTTCATAAAAGCTTTGTTGTGCTGCAAAATGCAAGTGCCTTCTTCAAGGAGTGATTAACTGCCTCAAACATGATGTTTGTTTTACCCACCTTGGCCCTCACAGTGACAGCTGGAGAGCAGAGTCACCACTCCTAAGCAGTGGGTGCAAGATATCCAATGGAGTTATTGGTGCAGGTCTGGAGGAAGCAGCAAACAGAGCTCTAGGCCTGGGATTGGATATAGCGTTCCTGACTGATGGAGATTTGGTGAACATCTCAACAGCAAACTGCTGTGGTGCCACCTTGCCGTGTCTTCTGGCAGGAGCTAATGGTGCCAACTTGCAAAATATCTGATGGTCACAGCATGCATACACCACTTCTTGTAGAGTGTCTCCACTGTTCTTAAGAGGGGCTGGCATCTGGAGCTGAGATGCCATTACCTGAAAGCAAGGATGGACCAGGCCATTACTGTGATAGATGCTTGATTTTTGAAGACACTTGCTGTGATGAAAAGATCTCCATTCTAATATATTTGAAATATGAAGATGTGGAGTTACAGAGATGGACAATTCCTGGATTGTCAGTTTTTACCTAAGGATGTACAAATTGTCAGGGCCACTCACTTTTAGTATAACCTTGTCAGAATGGTTTCTCCTCTGAAGAAGTCCATGGGAGCTTAAGGATAAAGGTCAAAACATAGCACTGTTGTTCCCAAAACAAGCTAAAAGCAGCTAGGCTCTGAGCCTGCTGGCACAGGCAGAAATAGTTGCAGGACTTAAATGTTGTAGTGGCTACTGATATGGTTTAGCAGCAGCTGGGGTTTTGTCCTTTAGGATTTTAAATTGTTCTGCTTTTTGCATCCAGAGCTGCCCTCACAGTACCTCAGTCCAGCATTCAAACCAGCCATCTGCAGACCTCAGCCAGCTGCAGTGTCAGGGCCAGGCCATGGCCTGAAGAACAGCCCCAGAGATGTCTTCTGGCCATGCCAGTGTATGTCTGGGAAGAGGGAGGGAACCCTGCCCCTCCACTGCCCTATTTCCCACCTCATATTTGCTGGGCTAGCTTTTGGGATGTGCCAGTAGTACTGTTGCCCTTGGCAAGCATAACTGGGCCAGGCCAGGGCTGAAAAACAAAGACCTCTGGGCACTTGATGTTTCCTCATAGTCAGACCAAGGTAGTAATAGTTCATCCTGGTTTGGAGTTAAAAAGCCTCTCTGGCTTCTTCAGGCCCTCAAGTCAGACTCACACTGAAAGGGTCAGGGATGTCTAACCTGAAGTATTTGCTGTGGCCATATAAAGGTCAGGCAGCCCCTGGCTGCTGTG